CTATATGTGTCAATAACAGTACGAATGGGATAATACGAGTATTTCCTGACCCGACCTGAAGGCTGCCGACCCAATTTTACATGTATGACACGGTCTGCTTGGCTCCTGACACCGGTGCTGACCGTCACCTGTAACTCACCTACTTTGCATTGGCCAAATTCAGCCTAGCTTCATGGGTTGGGTGAAAGAGGGATGCGATTCCCTGTGATCGACGCCGGGGTTGAGGGTGTGTTTCTGTTTTATTCTCCAAATGCCGATGAGTCGATGAGTGCAACCCAAAAGAAGTGTCTTGAAGTCTCTAAGTCTAATGTGACCCGAAACTTCCCAGTCACTTTTCGTAAACAATTTTGCCTTTGGCCTCCCAAGTGTCAACTGCCTGCCAAGAGACTTTTGAGATAGCTGAACTCATTCTCTCTAACGATTTAGAAAAATCAATAGTAGCGGGCTTGGCAGTGAGAAAAAAAAAAAGGGGGGGGGGGGGTAAGTCGGTTTTCATGGTCCGGCGACACAGCATCTCAGGCTGCGTTGGAGTCCTGCAGCCAAGCCAATGCATCCCAATAGCCAGATTCCCAACACAGCTCAGCATATGCAGCACTCTGCAGGCTCAATTCTTGGGGTCAAAAAAGTAAGCTCATCTCACTTGGTGGGCCGAAGATGGAAGAGAAGACGTGAGCGAATGAGTTCAGAAGAGGGCGGCGACTCAAGATGAGTGAGTGACCTTCTTCTTATCTTAGGTAATGAGATGAATGCAAAGTCAGCAGGAAACGGTGCGGCTGGATTGCCGTGCGCCACAGCTGAAAATAGGTCAAGCCAAATTGGGACACATTCTTCCAGTTGACCAAAATTCTTACCCTTCTTTCCCCTCCTCTCATGTCTTCTGATGAACATGGCCAGACTTCATCCATCCGAACAATTCAGCATCTCATGGTTCGCATGAATGTCGATTTCCGTCGCTACGACGTTTGAGGCTTCCATCGTAAACGAATCCTTCCAGACGATCACAGCTCTCTCGCACCTGGTTGGATTGAAGTGAAAACAAACTCGAGACCGGGTCGGCATAGAAACGAACGCCAGTCAAACAAGCTAACCTTAAGCCAGCAGCGGTACCTGCGTCGACAAGGCTCGCAGCGAAGGCCATGGGGGCTCGTCCGAAGTTGTGCTTGATCCTTCGCAGGGCCGCAGCAGAAGTTGAACAAGCATGAGGCACCGTGCAACAGAAACTTCTGCGCTGGATGCGATAGATGGGAGGCTACGATTCCCTCGTGGCGCGGGTTGCACCAAGCCAACAATAAGGACGGGAGGACAAGAAACACAGACTCTCAGGTGCCTCATTCTGCTCAGTGCTCGATCTCAGTGAGGGCGAGAGAGAGGTATTGAGCATATAACGATGGGCGACGTGCAGATGCTCGTATAGGTGCAGAACTGACATTTTCATCCGAGCGGTCCACCGACCAACATCGGATACCGCCTTCTTCAGGGCCCTCGTCCCAATCAGCAGAAAGGTAAAGGTAAGAAATGGAAGAAGCGCAGACCGACCTGCCAGCGCATTTGCGGCGCTCAATAGCGTCAAGCGGGAAAGGAGAAGGGATGAATGGGTGAGCGAGACGACAACACCGAGCGGCCCTGGGAAACAAAGTCCAACAAGCTGTTGATCTTGGCTCAGCGGACGGCGCCACGCGAGTCGCGACGCACCGCTCATCGCAGCCTAGGCAACGGCATCTCGGGTCTGTCTGTTCAACTGTCGTGCCTAGCTCGTTTCTGCCATAGTCTGACGGCCTTCACAAACAACCTTCTTTCTCTTCAAGCTTGTTTCTTCCGTCTCTTAGCTTTACCAGAGTACATGGAAGGGGCCCCTTTTGCCCTGGCGATCTAGCTTTGTCTCTCGGTTTTGGCGCCGTATACCAACACAAGAAGCTTAAACGCTCACCATCCAATCCCACGCCGTCGTTCTTGGCATGGCGTTTCCCATTGTGCCTAGTGGCATGCGATACGAGGGTTCAACCCCCCTGTCGCCGGCGAGTCTGCGCACCGTGACACGGCCGGTAGACGCGGGGACCACGGACTTACACCTCGGGGTGGGGCGCACGCATCTGTATATGCATTTTCCATATGCCAAATGTATGTGAGTCTATTGTTAGAGCCGGCTTAGCGTACATTACAGCTCCGGTGCATGGGTGCCCTTATTCCAGACCTCTGGTTCCCTCTCCTGTGCCGTCAGACCTACCGCCTCTTTCGGCGAATCATTATTGAGGAATATCTGCTGATGCCGGGGGCGGACGGTGCGGTGGTGATCCCTGATGGGCTGCCCGAGGCCCAAGGCTAGGCCTAAGAAAGGCTAGGCATCGTGTTTCTTGTTCCTTCGTTGTTCCGTCTTCAAGTCCGGGGTGGCATGCTTTCTGCTCCCTCGATCCTCCTTCCAAAGGGCTGAGTATCACACGCCACAGGGCCAAGCTGGCACAGCAGACAGGCTTCTTGAGAGTTGACAATAGGTACCCGGGATCCGAGGAATCGAGCTACTCGTGTCGTGAGATCTGACTAGAGGTTGTTGGTATCTGTTTAGACTCAGACACCAGAGGGCTTGTCCCGAAGGAGCCCTGCACGCTAAGAAGGCGAGCCCTCTTTTGGAAAGAGTAAACGTCCGGGAGCCTCATGGAAGAAAGCTGGACAAGCCTAATTTTGGTAGACCATGCTGTGATAGATGGCTCCTTGCCAAGAAACGAACGAAGATGATATAAGGCCATGATGTCCGGCTTCCATCTCCATCATCTATCTCCTCCTCATCGGGTCATCTCCTCTCTTTCCCTTTCCCTTCTTTCCAAGACCGTCAGTGTCATTGTCATTCGCTATTTCGACTTTACCTTCATCTTCTAATTTAGCACATTCGCTTTCGTCGATACACTACTATCGTCTTCCTCATCATGCATCTCACATCCGTCCTCGCCACCTCCCTGGCCCTGGTCTCCCTCCCAGGGACCATGGGCTACCCAGGCATGGGCGAGCAAATGGCCGAAATCATGGCCCGCAAGAGCGACGCCGGTGACTCGACCGAGCTTCTCGGCGACCTCGTCACCCTCAAAGACAAGGACCTCACCCCCGTCGGCAAGGACATCAAGAGGATGCTTCAGGGCAAAGGCGACCCAGAGTCTAATGACCGCTACAGCAAGGTGCCCGACCTGACCTCGGACAAGTGCAAAAAGGACACCTGCTGCGTCTGGCGCTACGTCGCCGATGACATGTACCAGTTCATGGCCGGCAAGTCGGGTCGCTGTACAGGTCTGGCCCGCGCCGCCGTCCGCCTCGGCTTTCACGACGCCGGGACCTGGTCCAAGGCTACGGCGTCCCAGGGCGGCGGCGCAGACGGCAGCATCCTGCTTGCCCCCGGCGAGATTGATCGCTTCGAGAACCGTGGTCTGCAGGAGATTGCCGTCAAGTTCCAGGAGCTGTACGGCAAGTACAAGGGTATGGGCTGGGATATTGGCATGGGCGACTTCATCCAAGTACGTTTGCAAGATAACTGAATCAATCCCATATTCGCTTCTGTCTTTACTAACCACATGTAAACATAGATGGGCGCCAACGTCGCAACAGTAGTCTGTCCCCTCGGCCCGCGCATCAAGTCCTACGTCGGCCGCAAAGACAGCGCCAACGGCTCCCCTGGCGGCCTCCTCCCGAGCCCCTTCCAGCCCGCCGACCAGCTCATCCAGCTCTTCCGCGACAAGACCATCGGCCCGCACGGTCTCGTCGCCTTGCTCGGCGCGCACACTACTAGCCAGCAGAACTTTGTCAACACAACCCGCGCTGGTGACCCCCAGGACAGCACACCCGGTGTCTGGGATGTGCTATACTACAAGGAGACTCTCAGCTCCAACTCGCCGCCTCGCGTCTTCAAATTCCCCAGCGACATTGCAATCTCCCAGCACCCCGAGACGGCCAAGGAGTTCAAGGAATTTGCTGGCCCTGGCGGACAGAACCATTGGAACGAGGTAAGATGATTTCTCCCCTTGACTTGTACACTGAAAGCACGTTGCTAACATGGCTTGCCCAATAGGACTACGCTCGTGAATACATCCGTCTCTCTCTTCTGGGCGTCAACAACATCAACCAGCTCACCGAGTGCACCAAGGTCTTGCCCCCTGCTGTGAACGGTTTCCGCGCCGTTGATCAGTACAAGCTCGATAAGTGGCTCAATAGCGTTGGCAACAAGGGCGCTGCGAAGAAGGTTGCCGAGGATATCGAGAAGGGCGAGCCTGCGTCTGTTGAGGTTCCCCCTGTCAACAACCGCAACTAAACCTTTGTGATTTGTCTTTAAAGTAATGGCGTTGGCATAGATCGGGCTTGGGAAGTTGATGAGAGTGTTGTATATCACCAGTTTCGGAGTTCTGGTGCCAGGTCCTAGTCGACCGTTTGTATAAACCGAGTGTCATTCGATGACATCACATATCATATCATAATCCAAATCCAACCGTATTTACGATTCAGTCTTTCCATCAAGCGTGGAGATGTTTGATACCAGAAATTCAATGCCGAGAATGTGTATCGACCACTGACTCGGACCACGGCAGGCCTGGAAAGCTTATTGCAGAGGCGACTCGTAGCAGAGCAGCGACCACGGTGCATATGTCCACCGACTTGACGAGGCAATGAGCAGAAGTTTTTGAAATGATAGACAATCAATGAGAATTTAAATTATTATCCAGAAAGTTATGGCTCTGGTTTTTGAAAGTTTTCTCTGGCTGCGTATCGACAGGCTCTGGCGGGTCCTCGGACCTGATGATGTTCGGACCGAGAACAAGCTGGACTCTTAAGTGTACTGTGTGACATCGACGTTGTTTTAAACTTTCAACGCTGTCCACATACTTACCACCCCGCGTACTTACCTTGTGACTCGATAACATCTTTCTTAGAGCTCAACCTCGCATAGGTTGTATATGATACTCATAATACATCAGTCCTAAAGATCGTCCCAACCGGCCCATTTCTCTTTCGACCACCGACCCAAAATGGACTATCGCCTGGTGCTCTTCCTCTACCGCAAAAATGACATTACACACGCCGAATTCAGAGACCACTACGAATACATACACATACCCCTCACCCGAGAACTCACCGGCTCCCGCTTCCCCTCCTTGCACTCAAGACGGTACATTGAGCGATCGCCAAAGGACGAGGCAACCGTCCTCATCGGTAAAAGCACCGGAGAGGAACCTGACGCGGTGGTGGAGATTGGATTCAAAGACGAGGAGGCGGCGCAAGCGTTCTTCGATGTGACGAACTCTGGGGAGGTTGAAGAGAGGTTACGAAAGGATAACGCGCAGTTCCTGGACTGGGAGAGGCTGAAGATTATGAGGATCGGGGACGCTTTTGAGACGCGCAGGGAGGACTGAGGCAGCGCAAGTCCGTTTATGAGAGACCTTTGTATCTTTGATGAGGTCATAACTCATGAGAAGATCATGTCGGCAACATGTTCGGCCGCTTATGTTAGGGCAGTTTTCGAATCCTCCGCAGCAACTCCATTAATCCTATTCTTGCTGCCTCTCTTTTTTAAGGTTTTAGTTTCGGGACTAGGACAGTCTTGCTTGATCCTGCCAACCGCCTCCATACTTTGGACTGACTGTGTAAAAATACGCGTATTTCGACGAGTCTAGCCACAACCCAGTGCCGTGATCTGCACGTGACATGTATATGTAGGCAATGTTCTATGAATAAAGGCATATCCGCAGTTCATTGTTTGGATTTTTCGTATCAGAAAAGATCATTTATTTCTCTTTCTCAATCTATCGCGAACGTTGGCATGGTGGTTCATAGAGTGCTCTTCTGGAAATACGCGTAAATTTGCATGCTTCACCTGGGGCGTTCTTGAATCCTGCAGGATTGCGCCTAGATGTTGTAGTACAGCCTCCGACAAAGGCTAGCTTCACATCAGTAGAGGTAGAAAGGCCCTACAACAAGCAAACTACATATTAGTTCGCAGACTAAATCATGCACGTAAGTTCTAACAGTCTTCAGTTCCCTTGATCTGCACAAAGCCACAAGCCCAAGGAGCCTAACTGCACGTGGCAGTAAGAGCTAGCTGTGATCTAGCAACAAAATTACGCGTAAAAATGCTCTTCTAGGTAGCCATAACTTGAACATGACGCTTGTTGAAATATCTCAAAAGCATCAAAACGTTTGTTGCTTCTACGGTCACTCATTGCGCCAACATGTCATCACGGTCTTTTAACCCATTAGCTTGTGAGTCCATGGCGTAGATCTCGACTTGCTAGATGGCTGTGCATGCTCGCGATGATCCTAATTCGTAACTTCAAAGCTGGGAATATGAATGTTGACCCAGCATGAGCCTGGCAGGTTCATCATAAATAGAAAGCGTTTCTCCCGTGACTTCACGCTGAAAAACTTCATGCAATTCACTGAAAACCTAACTTCACCTCAATTAAAATCTCTTATGCTGGAAGCTCTCGGACTTATCACAATGCTTTTCCATCAATCCCTACCGTCAGCGGGCATCACGACTGTCACACTACTGCTGCTGTTTAGCACTTCACAAGGACAGCAAACGATGGCAGTCAACGGCACACAAGTCCCCTCAGGCTTTCCTGCAGTCCGCAACCCTTCCCAAAATAAAGCACCCCGATCATCTTCAGCTAAGAAGCATTTAGTGTGACGCCCTTGTGACCGCCAACTTATCTCACGCCGTTCACTTTCCTTCTTCTCCCCTGTACCAAAACCTCGTTCAAAACGGCTCCTACGCTATCTCCACGCGCAAACAACCTTGGTGCTTCGTTCTCCCAAGCACAGCCGCCGAGGTTTCCCAAACTCTCACTGCTCTACACTCCGCCGGAGATGGTGCCGGAGACTGGCACGTGGCCATCCGCAGTGGCGGACATGGGGGCGATAACCAGAATAACATTGTCGACGGCGTGACCATCGACCTGACCCACCTCAACACTACCATGTACGATGCAGCTACTAACGTCGCACGCGTTGGCACTGGGGCGCGATGGGGCTCTGTGTACGCCGCGTTGGAAAAGGACGGAGTCTTGGTGACGGGCGGAAGGGAATCCGTCGTGGGCGTTGGCGGACTTCTTCTCGGCGGTGGCATCTCGTGGTACACGGCGCGTACGGGCTTTGCCTGCGACAGTGTCGTCAACTACGAGGTGGTACTGGCGAGCGGGGAGATTGTGAACGCCAACGCGTCTGCTAATGCGGACTTGTGGCGCGCTCTGAAGGGAGGTAGCAGCAACTTTGGTATCGTCACTCGCTTCGATCTCCAGGCGTTTCCAACGGAGAATTTGCACATGGAGACGAAGACCTTTGGTCGAGAGCACGCTGGTGAGCTCGTTGATGCGGTTGCTAATTTCGCCGATTTGGGCCGATCGTTCCAGGACAATGCGGTGCTCCTTGTCGTCACTTACGATCCAGAGACTGAAGACAGCATCTGGAGGGCGACTAAGGTCAACACCATGAACAAGGCCAACAGTACGGCATTCGATGCCTTTGACCGTATTCCGACGTCAGCTCCGACTACGGAGAAGTCGGTGACGCTTGTTGAGGCTGCCAATAGTACCGCGCTGTCCGGAAAGAATCGGTGAGTTGATTAGGAGACGTCTGGTTGAATTATCAGTAGGTCGAAAGTTGCTGATGATTTGTTTGCTAGAAACGCTGGAGCCGGGGCCTTGACCGCAGTCAATGATCCAAGAGTTCTGCGATACTGCATTGAACAGCATGAGGGCCTCGTCACAGACATTAAGGCCCTTCTCGGACCAAAGAACTTTACCACAATTCTCGATTTCCAACCAATCCCGTCATACTTTGCAGATATTGGAGTGCAGAAAGGGGGCAACATGCTCGGGCTCGAGCGAGACTCGCGCAACAAGGTTCTTTTCGTAATGGGAGTGACTCTACTAGGATCAAACAGCGAGGAGCTCTACCCTCGGGTTTACCAGCAGGTTGCAGCCGCGAACAAGAGAATTGAGGACTTCTCCAAGTCGATTGGCAGCGACACTGAGCTCAGGTACCTTCCATATGCGGATTCGAGGCAGGATGCAATTGGAAGTTACGGAAAAGCCAATGTGGAGCACATCCGAAGAGTTGCGGAGGAATATGACCCCGAAGGCTTCTTCCAGTACAGGGTTCCTGGTGGCTTCAAGATCAGTCGAGTTTAATCGGAATTCTTGTATCACGTGGAGGCGCATAGAGATAGACTGAGTCGCTCTTATGATTCTTTGTTTTGTTTTGTTGCTCTCTCGAAATATTATATGGATAGTTTTGTGCGTTAAGATGGAACAGTTCGCTCATAAAAATCAGCTATGTGAAAAGCAACGCAACTTATGCTATTACAATCGACCAAAACCCAGTGACCGACTCGCAGGTTATTATGTGCATGTTTCAATCGAATCTGTAAGAGTCTGACATCCTGGCCGGACCGAAATTGGGAGACATTTGCATCCCATCATTGTACCACATCTGATCTCTCGGCCACTCCGCCTCCTGAATATGCTGGGCATGACGTGGTATAATAACTGGAGGAAATCCAGCCATGGAAGGCGCGTGATCTTGTGCAAGCAGGTATCCAGTCCCGTTGCCGACATCTGCGTTGCCAGTCATGGCTGCTGGACCCCAAGGTACGTTTGCTGGATGTGTGTTGCACCCGCAGGTTGAGTACTGGGGAGACGGATAAAAGTTCCAAGAGGGATTTGACCGCTGATATACGACATCCTCGTTACAGCTCGAGTAGAGAGGATCTTGATAGAAGCCTTGTGGCTCTTCGTACTCGTATTCTGGTTGAATGGTCGAGAATGCCAATTGCTCACTGGCTTGGCTCTCGTAAAATAGCTCATTTGGTTTATGGAGCTGGCGTGTCGTGTGATGCACGTAGTCAGGGGAAGACTGACGCTCCTCTATCGTTTGCGTGGGGCTCGTCGTATCATTGTGAACATGCTCTGGCATGGAAATCGGACTCGTCATGGGGCTGTCGTCTTTCGAAGTGTTCGTAAGTTCTTCCAAAGACGCGTCGGATTCCTCCCCAGAAGTCGAATCGTGGTAGATCTTGTGATGCTGGATCAAAGCCACCTTGCGACAGAAACTGTGTTTCTATTAGCCGATATTCAAGTCGCCCCGGAAAGCGAGAATTGTCACTCACCTTTTACGACAGGTTTCAACAGCGCATGTATACGGACGCTTGCCCAAATGCACCCGACGATGACGCGAAAAACTCGAAGACTTGAGAAAATTAGCGTCAAAAATTTGTTTCCAATTACGTCAAGTATCTACTCACATCTGCGAATCGTTTGAAGCATCCAGGATACTGGCACTCGTATGGCTTCTCTCCAGTATGTGTACGCAGGTGTACAGTCAATGCACTCCTTTGGATGAAACTTCTCTCGCAACCCGGTGCTGGGCATGGATAAGGCCGCTCATTGGTATGAATTCGAAAGTGTCTGATCAGGTCCGACTTCCGGTTGAATCCCTGTAGGAATACGCAAGTAAGTATGATATTCTTGAGAGATTTACAGCCTTCTGATAGCATTCAGGGTTCCGAGAAACATTAGACGTTACCTTCTCGCAGGTCTTCCAACTGCAGTAAAAGCGACGGAAGCGCTCCTTGTTGTTGACAAGTTCGGTGATTTCCATTTTCTTCGCGGACGATGCTTCTGGATTGCTGATGGCGAAGGTTGGCTGCCCAACTAAACAGAGAGAGACAACTCTTTCGGGGTGATTGTTTCCGAGTCTCGGCTCCGACGGTTCGTCTAATAACGAACTAAGAGGGTATTATAAGCGCGCGATGGCGAAGCCCATAGCCTAGAGTCCTACGATAGACTACACCGATATGATGGGAGTGGAATCCAAGCGTATGTCGTTTGTTGAAGAAGTTGCGATTTGAAGATGCAGAGAAATGCGTAAACGGCAAGGTGACTTTTTAGCTTGGGTTGGGGGCGTGTGTCTGTAAATGACACCGTCAAATAGAAAGATCAGGAAGGTAGCGGTCTGAAGGAGATTCGGCCTAGTAGCTGAATCGTATCCGTTGACACCCACACATCAGAGAAGGGGCATCATCGCATCTTTTTAGCGTGAAGCTTTCATTATGTATGTGGAAAATCCTCGGTCAGGCTTGCAGGATGCCTTTTGAGTGTCTAGACCAAAATAGTCGTGCCGCAGTGTAGCATCGTCGTTGGATCCTTGGGAGATGGTCCAAGCTCAGAGAGGAAACCCCTGGACATCCAGGGCTTCTCAAGGCATAGCATGGGAGATCATTTCAGTTCTCGTCTTTCCGGTGAAGGTGTGGCACGCAGCCCGACATCTGCGGGGGCTCCATTGTTGCGAGTGGCGACGAAGCTTTCCCTTGCCCTGGCGTTCAGATGTCGCCATTACGGATAGAAAACAAAGT